TGCGTGGCTGCGCTAAATCGCGTCGCGTTTGAATATCGGTAATATTCCGGTCGCGTAAAGGAAGTCACCGCTCTTCGGCGGCGGAAGTCGCGGAAGGCCGAACACCGGGAGCACCCTGGCTTCGGAGAGGGAGCAACCTCTCTTCGTCGACGGAAGTAGCGGAAGGCCGAACACCGGGAGCACCCTGGCTTCGGAGAGAGAGCAACCTCTCCGTCGGCGGGAATAGCGGAAAGTCGAACGCCGGGAGCACCCTGGCTTCGGAGAGAGAGCAACCTCTCTCCGTCGGCGGGAATAGCGGAAAGTCGAACGCCGGGAGCACCCTGGTTTGAAGAGGGAGCAACCTCTCTTCGTCGACGGAAGTAGCGGAAGGCCGAACACCGGGAGCACCCTGGCTTCGGAGAGGGAGCAACCTCTCTCCGTCGGCGGGAATAGCGGTTGATTGCCTCGGGAGCTCCCTGAGGCAGTGCTTCGGTAGGACTTCGGATCAGGACAGGTGCCGTTATGCTGGCCGAGCCGGCTTTTATACCCGGCTCGGGCCTCCCACCTGCGAGTATCGGTCGCGCGGTGGGAGCGGTCCCCACGCTGGGGCGTCGCATGGGCGCGAGCGCTCGTGGGCGTCATAGGCGTCGAGCCTATCTTCGGGCGGTCGGGTGCTGTAGGGACAGTGTGTGAAACGCATCGTCACATCACCCCCTCTCTTAATCGACGGGAGGGTATAGCGGAATCCCCTTGCTTAGGTCTATGGGTCTTAATTCTAGGAAGGAAAAACTGGTTTCTATTTTAACTCTATTTATTCTTATCCTATTTTACAAACGAGCTTTAATGCTCGGTGTTGTGTGCGCTCGCGGACCTGGGTAGTTGACGGACCGCCCGGGGCCGGCCGTGGCGGTCGAAACAGACTATCCACCGGCCGGTTGCGGTGGTGAAGCGGTATTTCCGGCCTAAGAGGGCGGCGATGAGTGGAACCTCGACGGTGGTGCCGTCGCCCAGTTGTACCGTCGTCATAGCCGGATTAGGCCGGGTCTCAATTCGGGTGCTGGTGAAGTACCCTGGCCGAGCGGACGTCGGGGTCTGGCTGGACCGGGTGGCGGCCGGGGCTGCGGTGTGCGCGGCTCGTTTCGCTGGTTCCGGCTCTCGGCTTCTGGCGGGGGCCGATCGGGTCCGGGGGCTCGGGTTGGTCGGCAGTAGGGCCGGGGTTCGGCCGAGCGTAGCGGCGGCCACGGTGGCCCGGCTTCTGGGTCGTCGTGGCGGTGGTGGTGATGCGATCATAATTGCCTTCCGGCAGTTTTCCCGGTCGGACCGCTGTACTGAGATCCCGGGTCGCGGCAGTCGGCAGGCCGGACGGGGGTTGTCGGCCGTGGGCGGTGGTGCGGCGGTGGGCCTCGGTGAGTCAATGTCTTCGGCGCTGTCCGAGGACATCTCGCCGAACAAATTTCTAACTGCTTGCCGTCGGTTGGACATGATACTATTACTTTGGAAACTTGTCGCGAGCTCCTATTTATAGGCCGTGGGGGTCGGTCGCGTCGCGGACTGCGGTGTTTATGGGAAAACACCCTTGGAATACGGTTAGAGAGGGGCGAAGCTTGTTTACGCGCGTGTCTGGGCGGTTCGACATGTGCGTCGGC